TGAATCTGGCCCCAGGTTCGTAAATGCTTGCGTAACTACTTCGTGAATCTGGCCCCAGGTTCGTAAGTGCTTGCGTAACTGCTTCGTGAATCTGGCCCCAGGTTCGTAAGTGCTTGCGTAACTACTTCGTGAATCTGGCCCCAGGTTCGTAAGTGCTTGCATAACTACTTCATGAATCTGGCCCCAGGTTCGTAAGTGCTTGCATAACTAGTTCATGAATCTGGCCCCCAGGTTCGTAAGTGCTTGCGTAACTGCTTCGTGAATCTGGCCCCAGGTTCGTAAGTGCTTGCGTAACTGCTTCGTGAATCTGGCCCCAGGTTCGTAAGTGCTTGCGTAACTACTTCGTGAATCTGGCCCCAGGTTCGTAAGTGCTTGCATAACTACTTCATGAATCTGGCCCCCAGGTTCGTAAGTGCTTGCGTAACTGCTTCGTGAATCTGGCCCCTGGTTCGTAAGTGCCTGCGTAACTACTTCGTGAATCTGGCCCCAGGTTCGTAAGTGCTTGCGTAACTGCTTCGTGAATCTGGCCCCAGGTTCGTAAGTGCTTGCGTAACTGCTTCGTGAATCTGGCCCCAGGTTCGTAAGTGCTTGCGTAACTACTTCGTGAATCTGGCCCCAGGTTCGTAAGTGCTTGCATAACTACTTCATGAATCTGGCCCCCAGGTTCGTAAGTGCTTGCGTAACTGCTTCGTGAATCTGGCCCCAGGTTCGTAAGTGCCTGCGTAACTACTTCGTGAATCTGGCCCCAGGTTCGTAAGTGCTTGCGTAACTGCTTCGTGAATCTGGCCCCAGGTTCGTAAGTGCTTGCATAACTACTTCATGAATCTGGCCCCCAGGTTCGTAAGTGCTTGCGTAACTGCTTCGTGAATCTGGCCCCAGGTTCGTAAGTGCTTGCGTAACTACTTCGTGAATCTGGCCCCAGGTTCGTAAGTGCTTGCGTAACTACTTCATGAATCTGGCCCCCAGGTTCGTAAGTGCTTGCGTAACTGCTTCGTGAATCTGGCCCCCAGGTTCGTAAGTGCTTGCGTAACTGCTTCATGAATCTGGCCCCAGGTTCGTAAGTGCTTGCGTAACTGCTTCGTGAATCTGGCCCCAGGTTCGTAAGTGCTTGCGTAACTACTTCGTGAATCTGGCCCCAGGTTCGTAAGTGCTTGCGTAACTGCTTCGTGAATCTGGCCCCAGGTTCGTAAGTGCTTGCGTAACTGCTTCGTGAATCTGGCCCCAGGTTCGTAAGTGCTTGCGTAACTACTTCGTGAATCTGGCCCCAGGTTCGTAAGTGCTTGCATAACTACTTCATGAATCTGGCCCCCAGGTTCGTAAGTGCTTGCGTAACTACTTCGTGAATCTGGCCCCAGGTTCGTAAGTGCCTGCGTAACTACTTCGTGAATCTGGCCCCCAGGTTCGACAAAGAATGTCAGAATAGGTACATTGTAACCCACAAGGCATAAGGTTCCTGGTAATTAGAGACCTAACTACCATAAAGACCTTTTAGCCTAGTACAAGCAGTTCTCGTAATAGAACGTCGCATTTTAACGTATATTCTACCTACTACGACCACTATCACCTGGTACCCGCTACCACGACCACTTCTCCATAACGACTACCCCTCCGCCACGACCACCCCTCCCCGGAGGGGGGTTAGGGGGGGGTAGAGAGACCGTAAATAACTTGAGTCACCACCAAGGCTCTCCGTGGCCCTGTTACCGGGGGCACGGCTGGCACCCCCCCCCCCTGGCCTGGCCCCCGGTGTGGCCCCCGTGGTGTGGGTCCGTGGGTGTGGCCCCCGGGGTGTGGGTCCGTGGGTGTGGGCCCCCGGAGCGTGGGTCCGTGGGTGTGGGTCCCGGGGCGTGGGTCCATGGGTGTGGCCCCCCGGGGTGTGGGTCCATGGGTGTGGCCCCCCGGGGTGTGGGTCCGTGGGTGTGACCCCGGGGCGTGGGTGTGGCCCCCGGGGCGTGGGTCCGTGGGTGTGGCCCCGGGGTGTAGGTCCGTGGGTGTGGCCCCCGGGGTGTGGGTCCGGCACCGGGTGTGGGTCCGTGGGTGTGGCCCCCGGGGGTGTGGGTTCGTGGGTGTGGCCCCGGGGTGTAGGTCTGTGGGTGTGGCCCCCGGGGCGTGGGACCGTGGGTGTGGCCCCGGGGCAGGTGGTGGCCAGGGGCCAGGTGGTGGCCAGGGCCAGGTGGTGGCCAGGTGGTGGCCAGGGCCAGGTGGTGGCCAGGGCCAGGTGGTGGCCAGGGCCAGGTGGTGGCCAGGGCCAGGTGGTGGCCAGGGCCAGGTGGTGGCCAGGGGCCAGGTGGTGGCCAGGGGCCAGGTGGTGGCCAGGGCCAGGTGGTGGCCAGGGCCAGGTGGTGGCCAGGGCCAGGTGGTGGCCAGGGCCAGGTGGTGGCCAGGGGCCAGGTGGTGGCCAGGGGCCAGGTGGTGGCCAGGGCCAGGTGGTGGCCAGGGCCAGGTGGTGGCCAGGGGCCAGGTGGTGGCCAGGGCCAGGTGGTGGCCAGGGGCCAGGTGGTGGCCAGGGCCAGGTGGTGGCCAGGGGCCAGGTGGTGGCCAGGGCCAGGTGGTGGCCAGGGCCAGGTGGTGGCCAGGTGGTGGCCAGAGTTTATGCGTGTAAGGCCATAATCGTCTTATACCGGAACCCGATCAAGTACTTACCAACAATCAAGTGTCGTTTAATAATTCTGGCACTTGTGCCTGTGGACGTGTGGGTGCCTGCTGCTACTGGTGTCCAGGGTGGCACTCCTGGCACTCTCAACACCCGGGAACTTGAAAACACTTACACTCTGACACACAGCCCCCACTCCCCATGTGAGGGGGTTGTCGCCCCCCTCTTTTAATAAATTGCGTTTTTATATTACTCTAAGTTATCACAAGTCGAGCTCAGGGGGTAGAACTACTCCCGAAACCCTATTCAGGTATATTCCAGGTACTACTGCTCATAATTAAGGAAAGGAAAAAGTTATTTTCTCTCACACAAGACCTGGCATCCGACAGCCGAAGAATCTGGCAAGTGGGAAAAAATTCTATGGGAATTGATCCGAAATTTTCCTGAATATCATTCTTCTAGAAGACTTCAATCTTTCACATTTAATTTGGAAGATGTGGTGTCAATACCCCACAAGCATCGTTAGAAAGTTGCCAAGTTCAACATTGCAGGGAGCAGGAGAGATTGTTGAAATAGAGGGAATACAGAGAACATATTGGGCACGTATAGACGAGATAAAACACCTAAATTATTCGTCTCAGGGAGGAAAAAACTCTTGAAACCGTCTCCAGGTATGCTCCAGGTATATGTGGGTCTACAGGAAGATTGCTGTAGTCTGCCTGAGGGAGAAGGTACAGGAATTAAGCAGAGGACTGCTAGCTGTCACGCTGCTAACCGCTAGACTGCTGCTCCCTGTAGCTACCTCACGGCGGCCCCGTCTTCCTCTCTCAGGCCTTGAAAGTCGATTAGTGGACACGTGCTGTGGCGCAGTGGTGGTGTGGCTGAGGGGAGCCGGTCGGCCGAGCGGACAGCACGCTGGACTTGTGATACTGTGGTCCTGGCTTCGATCCCAGGCGCCGGGGAGAAACAATGGGCAGAGTTTTTCACCCTATGCCCCTGTTACCTAGCAGTAAAATAGGTACCTGGGTGTTAGTTAGCTGTCACAGGCTGCTTCCTGGGGGTGGAGGCCTGGTCGAGGACCGGGCCGCGGGGACACTAAAAGCCCCGAAATCATCTCAAGATAACCTCAAGATAACCCCACACACACACACACACACACACACACACAGAGGAAGCAGGCCGTAGCAATAATCTAACTCCCAGTTACCTATTTACTACTAGGTGAACAGGAGCATCAGGAAACAAACTCTGCCCAATTGTTTCCACCATCGCCGGGGATCGATCCCCTAGGACTACGAATCCTGAGAGCTCTCCACTCAGCCGTCAGGCCCCCCAGTGTGTATATGTGTTAAGTATTGAGCGTTGCTATACGTTATAATCCAGTGTACTGTCGGGGCCCCCTGGGCCCTGTTCCCAAATTTACACATCCCCAAGTGATTCCTTAATCCATGATGATCAGCTTTAGGGATATTGACACCGCCCAGTAGCGGTGTGATGGATGTGTGGGCATGCAGGGCGCTAGAACCAATAGTCTGTTGCGTCAAGTGATTATATGCGTCCCTCAGGTTCGTAAGTGCTTGCGTAACTGCTTCGTGGATCTGGCCCCCTGATGGACCTAAAACTTCTTAACATTATATATATATATATATATATATATATATATATATATATATATATATATATATATATATATATATATATATATATATATACATACGATTTTAACCAACAGAAAACGATCCTTGTGGGAAGATGTTGTTCAGGGGTAACTATACAGTTGGCAGCCGGGTCCCTTGGACCGGCTCAGTTCGTGTCCGTTCGGCCCTTGTCACCATTATCTTGAGGTTATCTTGAGATGATTTCGGGGCTTTAGTGTCCCTGCGGCCCGGTCCTCGACCAGGCCTCCACCCCCAGGAAGCAGCCCGTGACAGCTGACTAACACCCAGGTACCTATTTTACTGCTAGGTAACAGGGGTATAGAGTGAAAGAAACTGTCTGTTTCCGCCATTACCAGGGATTGATCCCCCGGACTCTAGGATTACGAATCCCGAGCGTTGTTCACTCAGCCACCAGGCCTCATAAATGGTCATATTTTGTTCATTAAGTAGCTGGCTGATCCTGGTCGTCCAGACTGTTGTGGAATGTATAACGCCATGTATAATGTTTCTTTAGTCATATAACTTCTAATTGTGTATATAGTGGAGGCTGCCACAACCCCCCCTACAATCCCCCCCCCCTATAACCACCCCCCTACAACCACACCCTCCCCCCCCCAACCACAACAAGACTAGCAGGGGGGCATAAAGAGCTTTGCCACTCCCCCATAGCCACAGTTAGGTCAGTCATCATTAATCAAATGCCATATATGCCGTACTTGTGTATGTACATCAGTTGTGTATTGTTCTAGGTGAGTGTATTGGCCAGGGCGGTGATGACGCACCAGTGACGCAACTCTTGATGCAACTTTTGACGCATCTCTGACGTAAGTAATCAATATTTGCTTTTCAAGTACAGTTTTCAGCCATTTACAAATGTATAATCCCATCCTAAAATTTTATATATATATATATATATATATATATATATATATATATATATATATATATATCTGAAAGAAGCGCCAGAGAAGACCAGGAGGCAAGGCAGGAAGTGCAAAAATGCCTCGTTCCAAAATAGAGGTGCAACAGGTATGCTGAGACGATTCCCTAATGGCCCCAAGACTCTTTAAACACTCTCCCTCTAACTATACCTTTTAGTGGTTCCGGGGATCAACGCCCTCACGGCCCAGTCTCTGACACTCGAGTATTTTGCAGCAAATGTAAATTATTATGTATGTATCTTGAAGTTGTCTTGAGGTTATCTTGAGATGATTTCGGGGCTTAGCGGCCCGGTCCTCGACCAGGCCTCCTTTTTGTTACACACCCCCAGGAAGCAGCCCGTGACAGCTGTCTAACTCCCAGGTACCTATTTAATGCTAGGTGAACAAGGGCATCAAGGTGAAAGAAACTGCCCATTTGTTTCCACCTCCACCGGAGATCGAACCCGGAACCTCAGGACTACGAATCCCGAGCGCTGTCCACTCAGCCATCAGGTTCCCCCCCCCTAGTGTAATCTACACAGGATGGTACAGTACTATAGTTGTATCATTGTATAGATGAAGTGTACTGTAGTTGTTGATGTGAAAGAGTACTGGAGCAAGCACAGTACCCTGGGGGACTGTGGAGCAAGCACAGTACTCTGGAGGACTGTGCAGCAAGCACAGTACTCTGAGGGTACTGTGCAGCAAGCACAGTACCCTGGGGGACTGTGGAACAAGCACAGTACCCTGGGGGACTGTGGAGCAAGCACAGTACCCTGGGGGACTGTGGAGCAAGCACAGTACCCTGAGGGTACTGTGGAGCAAGCACAGTACCCTGGGGGACTGTGGAGCAAGCACAGTACCCTGGGGGACTGTGGAGCAAGCACAGTACCCTGGGGGACTGTGGAGCAAGCACAGTACCCTGAGGGTACTGTGGAGCAAGCACAGTACCCTGAGGGTACTGTGGAGCAAGCACAGTACCCTGGGGGACTGTGGAGCAAGCACAGTACCCTGGGGGACTGTGGAGCAAGCACAGTACCCTGGGGAACTGTGGAGCAAGCACAGTACCCTGGGGGACTGTGGAGCAAGCACAGTACCCTGGGGGACTGTGGAACAAGCACAGTACCCTGGAGGACTGTGCAGCAAGCACAGTACCCTGGGGAACTGTGGAACAAGCACAGTACCCTGGGGGACTGTGGAGCAAGCACAGTACCCGGGGGGACTGTGGAACAAGCACAGTACCCTGGGGGACTGTGGAACAAGCACAGTACCCTGGAGGACTGTGGAACAAGCACAGTACCCTGGGGGACTGTGGAACAAGCACAGTACCCTGGAGGACTGTGCAGCAAGCACAGTACCCTGGAGGACTGTGGAACAAGCACAGTACCCTGGAGGACTGTGGAACAAGCACAGTACCCTGGAGGACTGTGGAACAAGCACAGTACCCTGGGGGACTGTGGAACAAGCACAGTACCCTGGAGGACTGTGGAACAAGCACAGTACCCTGGAGGACTGTGGAACAAGCACAGTACCCTGGGGGACTGTGGAACAAGCACAGTACCCTGGAGGACTGTGGAACAAGCACAGTACCCTGGAGGACTGTGGAACAAGCACAGTACCCTGGGGGACTGTGGAACAAGCACAGTACCCTGGAGGACTGTGGAACAAGCACAGTACCCTGGAGGACTGTGGAACAAGCACAGTACCCTGGAGGACTGTGGAACAAGCACAGTACCCTGGAGGACTGTGGAACAAGCACAGTACCCTGGGGGACTGTGGAACAAGCACAGTACCCTGGAGGACTGTGGAACAAGCACAGTACCCTGGAGGACTGTGGAACAAGCACAGTACCCTGGAGGACTGTGGAACAAGCACAGTACCCTGGGGGACTGTGGAACAAGCACAGTACCCTGGGGGACTGTGGAACAAGCACAGTACCCTGGTGGACTGTGGAACAAGCACAGTACCCTGGGGGACTGTGGAACAAGCACAGTACCCTGGAGGACTGTGGAACAAGCACAGTACCCTGGGGGACTGTGGAACAAGCACAGTACCCTGGGGGACTGTGGAACAAGCACAGTACCCTGGAGGACTGTGGAACAAGCACAGTACCCTGGGGGACTGTGGAACAAGCACAGTACCCTGGAGGACTGTGCAGCAAGCACAGTACCCTGGGGGACTGTGGAACAAGCACAGTACCCTGGAGGACTGTGGAACAAGCACAGTACCCTGGGGGACTGTGCAGCAAGCACAGTACCCTGGGGGACTGTGGAACAAGCACAGTACCCTGGGGGACTGTGCAGCAAGCACAGTACCCTGGAGGACTGTGGAACAAGCACAGTACCCTGGAGGACTGTGGAGCAAGCACAGTACCCTGGGGGACTGTGGAACAAGCACAGTACCCTGGAGGACTGTGGAACAAGCACAGTACCCTGGGGGACTGCAGCAAGCACAGTACCCTGGGGGACTGTGGAACAAGCACAGTACCCTGGAGGACTGTGGAACAAGCACAGTACCCTGGGGGACTGTGCAGCAAGCACAGTACCCTGGAGGACTGTGGAACAAGCACAGTACCCTGGAGGACTGTGCAGCAAGCACAGTACCCTGGAGGACTGTGGAACAAGCACAGTACCCTGGAGGACTGTGGAGCAAGCACAGTACCCTGGAGGACTGTGCAACAAGCACAGTACCCTGGAGGACTGTGGAACAAGCACAGTACCCTGGAGGACTGTGCAACAAGCACAGTACCCTGGAGGGCTAAACTCTCCACGGTGGAGAGTCCGGATATTACTTAAACTATTATACTGTTTGTTAGGAAGTAAAAGATCCATCTCCCTGCCCCCCCTCCCCCCCTCCCCCCCCACACCCCCCCCACACCCCCCCCACACCCCCCCACACACCCCCCCCCCCACACACACCCTCCCCCACACCCCCCATATCTACCTGGCAGATGGCTCAGGTTTGTGACGTCACGAGTGAATTTGCATTTTTTTTGCATTTGACGCGATGAGCCTGCCAATTACTATTGTGGTGTGGGGGGGGGGGAGGTCCTGTGTGGTGTGGGGGGGGGTCCTGTGTGGTGTGGGGGGGGGTCCTGTGTGGTGTGGGGGGGGTCCTGTGTGGTGTGGGGGGGGGTCCTGTGTGGTGTGGGGGGGGTCCTGTGTGGTGTGGGGGGGGTCCTGTGTGGTGTGGGGGGGGGAGGTCCTGTGTGGTGTGGGGGGGGGGGTCCTGTGTGGTGTGGGGGGGGTCCTGTGTGGTGTGGGGGGGGGTCCTGTGTGGTGTGGGGGGGGTCCTGTGTGGTGTGGGGGGGGTCCTGTGTGGTGTGGGGGGGGGAGGTCCTGTGTGGTGTGGGGGGGGGTCCTGTGTGGTGTGGGGGGGGGTCCTGTGTGGGGGGGGGAGGTCCTGTGTGGTGTGGGGGGGGGTCCTGTGTGGTGTGGGGGGGGGGGGTCCTGTGTGGTGTGGGGGGGGGTCCTGTGTGGTGTGGGGGGGGGTCCTGTGTGGGGGGGGGGAGGTCCTGTGTGGTGTGGGGGGGGGGTCCTGTGTGGTGTGGGGGGGGGGTCCTGTGTGGTGTGGGGGGGGTCCTGTGTGGTGTGGGGGGGGGTCCTGTGTGGTGTGGGGGGGTCCTGTGTGGTGTGGGGGGGGTCCTGTGTGGTGTGGGGGGGGGGAGGTCCTGTGTGGTGTGGGGGGGGGGGGTCCTGTGTGGTGTGGGGGGGGAGGTCCTGTGTGGTGTGGGGGGTGGGGGTCCTGTGTGGTGTGGGGGGGGGGGGTCCTGTGTGGTGTGGGGGGGGGGGGGGGGTCCTGTGTGGTGTGGGGGGGTCCTGTGTGGTGTGGGGGGGGAGGTCCTGTGTGGTGTGGGGGGGGGTCCTGTGTGGTGTGGGGGGGGGGAGGTCCTGTGTGGTGTGGGGGGGGGGTCCTGTGTGGTGTGGGGGAGGGGAGGTCCTGTGTGGTGTGGGGGGGGGAGGTCCTGTGTGGTGTGGGGGGGGGGGTCCTGTGTGGTGTGGGGGGGTCCTGTGTGGTGTGGGGGGGGGTCCTGTGTGGTGTGGGGGGGGGGTCCTGTGTGGTGTGGGGGGGGTATTGCCACCATGAGACGACACTATATCCATCATGAACTATTAAACTCATCAAGTGAGTTAGTGGGACCTACTTGGAATCATGGTAGAAAAATAAATCTAATTATTATTGTAATATGCAAACCGCCAGATGCAACAGTTGAGTGATTCAAAGAGCAGCTACACAAATTAGAGAATATCCTTCATAACCTGGCAAACCCAGCTCCAGATATTATCTTCCTTGGAGACCAATCAACCAAGTTTTAAGTTGGATAATAGGAAATAATAACTTTATATCAGGAAATCAACTTAAGTGACCAACCACAGGTATGAGAACTTATGAGATTCTCTGACAAATTCTCTGACTACTTGGGGTGGACGGTAGAGCGACGGTCTCGCTTCATGCAGGTCGGCGTTCAATCCCCGACCGTCCACAAGTGGTTGGGGCACCATTCCTTTCCCCCCGTCCCATCCCAAATCCTTATCCTGACCCCTTCCCAGTGCTATATAGTCGTAATGGCTTGCCGCTTTCTCCTCAAAGCCCAATAGATTACAGAACCAATTAGGAGAAAACTCAACCTGAAATAATCAGACATATTACAGAACTACAATTTCTGCAATCTCAGAACTACGTACTGCTCAGTACTCACTTCCACCTTCAAGAGAGATCTCTGAATTAGAGGGAATACAGAGAACATATTGGGCACACATAGACACGGTAAAACATCTTCATTATTGCCACCGTCTCAAAGCTCTCAAAATGTTCTCTTTGGAAAGGAGACGAGAAAGTTATCAAATAATATATACATGGAAGATACTGGAGGGCAGCTCCCAAATTTGTACAGTAGAATATGT